CTTTTTGACCCAGAACCCGTTAGTGTGGCAGAGAACCTCTTAACAGCGAGCGCTCTCTGCTGTCGTCCTCCAGTCATTGGGAGAGGAGGTGAACAGATCACCAGGATCCAGCTGGAGTCCGGCTGCAAGATCCAGATCGCTGCTGGTGAGTCTGGTTTGTCCTCTGGTTCCTCTTAGTTCCCCGTGGTTCTTCATCTATGATTTAAGCATTGATGCCGGTCGTGTGTGTGTGTGTGTGTGTGTGTGTCACAGACAGCGGAGGACTGATGGAGCGGCCATGTTCCCTGACTGGAACTCCAGAGAGCATTGAGTGAGTTTCTAAATATTTAACTCCTAATAACACCACCCGCTCACCTCCACCTGCCGCTCACTGTCTGTCTGTCTGTCTGTCTGTCTGTCTGTCTGTCTGTCTGTCTGTCTGTCTGTCTGTCTGTCTGTCTGTCTGTCTGTCTGTCTGTCTGTCTGTCTGTCTAGGCAGGCAAAGCGTCTGCTGATCCAGATCGTGGATCGCTGCAGGAACGGTCCTGGTTTCCACGGTGACGGTGAAGGTGGAGCCTCCGTGCAGGAGATGCTGATCCCGGCCAGCAAGGTGGGGCTGGTGATTGGCCGAGGGGGCGACACCATCAAACAGCTGCAGGTAAGAACGTCTTCAGGTTTGCTTACGTGGAAACATGACTTTGTGCTCATTAGCTGTGTGAGTTCATGTTCAGCTGCTTTGAACCAAAATACAGAAGAGATGTTATTTCTCACCTCAGAACAGCTTTTAAATGGCTGGTTTTATGAATGGAGGCTGGTTAAATCTCTGATACATGGCGCCACCAGCAGAGCCCCTCCCCCTCTGCCTCTGATCGGCGTTGTTGTTGTTGTGGCTCAGGAGCGAGCAGGTGTGAAGATGATGATGATCCAAGACGGTCCGATGCCGACGGGGGCCGACAAACCTCTCCGCATCTCCGGAGACCCGTACAAAGTACAGGTGAGGGTCAGAGGTCACACGTCTTGTGTTGGTGTACATTCACTGATCACATCTGGACCGTGCTCCCAGCTGACCTCGTCTCTCTGCAGGCGGCGAGGG